AGGAAACATGGCACACACACGGAGGGGGAGTGGCGGAGGGTGGAGGTGGCATTCTCATTCTAAATAGTAAAGAAAGAGGGTTGTGAGCCCAAGTTCCAGGAATGGTGGAGAAGATTGTGCCTGGTTGTTTTACTGACAAATGGTCTCATGTAGCTCAGGCTGCCTTGAACTCAATATGAAACTTAGGATGGCCTTGAACTTCTAATCCTCCTGTCTCTGCCTTGCAAGTTCTATGATCACTGGTGTGTACTGCCACTTAAGTTTGTTTTATTATTTTAATGCAGTGTCGAGGGTTGAACCTAGAGCCTCACACAGGCTAGGCTAGCACCCTTCCCCACCCCAGCCACATCTCCAATCCCCTTTGAAGGCTTCAGCTTCTTATACAACATGCAATGAAAATGATGTCAGTGTACCCTGATGCAGCAGTGTGCTCACTAAGGAGGCGATATGTTGTGCCAGGCATGGAAAATCAGCCTTGCAGCTCATGGGCCTCTAGGTACTACCTCTAACTAGGAAAATCTTATTGAAGAATTCAGAGTGAGCCATTGTATTAAAAAGTTTTACTCTGTAATTTCTATGAATGAAATCATGGCCTGATGGGTCCTGGAGAGATTGCTCAGTGGTTAAGAACACAAACTGCTTTTCCCGAGGACTGGAATTCAATTCCCAACACCTATATCAGGCAGCTTACAACCATCTGTTGTGGGGAGGGAATCTGACTGCTCTGGACTCTGTGGGCACCTGCACTGCGCTCATGTGCAACACACACACACGCACACTTTAAAATAATTTTTAAAATAAAAAAGCATAACTTCGTGTGATTACAGAGTCTGGGCAAATAAAGGGAGGTGGAATCTCCCAGATGAATATTTTCAGATAAGGAATTGTAGCTAAGATCCATAATGAAAGAGAGAGATTGCCATTTCTAACAAAGCCCAGAAATATGTGGTTCTGCAGGTCGGCTGTCAGTCAAAGCTAACACTTGAATTGATTAACATGGAGGAAAGGTTTGTTCCTGTTCATAGCTGGAGAGACTCTGGTCCATGACCAGATGACCCTATTGCTATGGACCCCTGGAGCAGATGCTCAATGGCAATGTGGGGGGGAGGGGCTTGCAGGGGTAGGGTGGGGACATGGCAGAGCAAAACACTTAGCCATAGCCTTGAGGTAAACAAGGAAGAAGATGGGACTGGGGTCCTGGGGTCCCTTTTCCAGGATATTCCACATGGCTTAATGTTGAAACCCCACCTCCCATGGCTCTACTGCCCCCAGCTTTTTTAACACAGGGGGCATGAGAGGACATTTAACATTTAAACCATGACTTTGGTTGACACAGAGTAAGTGTGTTCAGCTGAGTCGAAGCCTCTGTGGTGTCGTGCCGGCACTAATACAGCAGGCTACTTGAGGCAAAGCAACATGTTTTGTTTCAATAACTTCACATTTTTCTTATTTATACTTGTGCAAATACTTGTCTCTTTCTTTTAATGAAAAACATGCATTCCCTTTTAACATAATAGTTTCCATTTCACTTTATTTGAAACAATTGGACTTAGTAACAAGATTATGTTGCACATGCCCAGAAGGGTGGAAAAAATGATTCCATATTTTATTGCACACAAATTGTAGACAATAAGTCATGTGTTTGGGGAAAATGGGAGAGAAAATTTGTGTCTAACCTGTTTTTTACCTAATAACAGTGTAACATCTGTTTGACCAGTTTTGATTTTTAAATTTCCTGTTTCAGTTAGTTAGAAGACAGCTCCCTTTCTAGACACCCATAGATGGCACGTGTACACATCTGTGTCTGCACGTTCAGACAGTTCTGGTAACTATGACTATGGAGACATGGGAGCTGTGATTAAGTCCAGTTGAGGTGTGCCTTTGATTCAGTGCCAACCTGAGAATGGGTGGAGGCCCACTGCCTTCTTCCCCAAGTCTTCCCTTTCTCTATTTTGTAGTTTTAAAATCCATTTAAATGTTTCAGTAGGCAGAGTGCATGTAGGATTTCTGAAATTACGCATAGTCACATGTAAGTGAGAAAATGCCCCTCTGTAACAGGAAATGACTTCCCCAGTGTTTGTGGGTTTTATTTTCAGATTAAAGGAAAATTGGGAGAGAAAGATGAAAACCACATCTAGTCTCCGTCTCCTAGTTGGAATCTATAGTTTGTCTATAAGATGATAGGCTTTTATTTGCTTTCATCTTTGCATGTGTGTGGGGGGGGTTGTTAAACAGTGTCTCACCATATAGCCCATTCTAGTTAGGAACTCAGGGCTCTCCCATCTCAGCCCCCACCCCCAAGTGCTGGGATTGCGGGCATGTGGCTCTACACTCCGTTTGAACCACACCCAGCTTAGTTTTGTTAGTATTTTTTAGGTTCCTATTGTCCAGTTGAAACGGTAACAAATAAGAGCTCTGCCAGCCTCCTCATCCCCACCCCACCACAGCAGTGCCACACCCTGGAGGACAAGCGGCAGCAACTTTCTGATTCCACTCTGTTCAAGGCTTTTTCCTCACTCCCCATCTGGTGTGGCATGTTCTTATGGGAATGCAAATTGCTCTATTTCCCTAGTTAAGCCTTTGACCACATTCACAGGGACCTCCCCTGTCCCTCTGCAGAACACTGGTGTCTCTGTTCCCCGGTGTTCCTGCCCTCACCTGTTTCCCAGATATTATTGGAATCTCTCATCTTTTAGTGGCCACCAATATCCCAAATCCTGCTTTATTTCCTGCTTCCTTTTCTCTGCAGTTTTGCCTTCATTGTATTTTCCATCTTTATTCCAGTGGGAATCTCAGCAGCATTGGGTGCCAGACACCATTCTGCCATTTTGAATCCTTCCAGACTGTTTTTAGGAAAGCTGTCAGCTCAGTTTTCATTTGCGGTTTGTTTCTGGGGTATAGTGTCCTATTTCCCTGGTGTCTCCTCAGTTAGACTGAAAAGCTGCAAGAGCTACAGGGCTGTACACACTTCAGACTGCTGCTTCTGGTGAGCCGCTTCTGGTGAGCCACAGGCCCAAGTGTGAGGCGTTTCAGATGAAAGTGCTAGTGTGAACAGCAGACTGCCTCCAAGCCGACTCTCTGTGTCTCTGTCTCTCTCTCTCTCTGATGGCACCCTCACTTTCCCAAGCCCCCCCATGGCACCCTCACTTTCCCAAGCCCCCCCAGGCACCCTCACTTTCCCAAGCCCCCCCAGGCACCCTCACTTTCCCAAGCCCCCCCTCCGATGGCACCCTCACCTTCCCAAGCCCCCCCCGATGGCACCCTCACTTTCCCAAGCCCCCCCAGGCACCCTCACTTTCCCAAGCTCCCCCTCCGATGGCACCCTCACCTTCCCAAGCCCCCCCGATGGCACCCTCACCTTCCCAAGCCCCCCGATGGCACCCTCACTTTCCCAAGCCCCCCCTCCGATGGCACCCTCACTTTCCCAAGCCTCCCCCTCCGATGGCACCCTCACCAAGCCTCCTTTTCTCGTCCCTCCGCCTGCCTTGGTCTGTCTCTTGTCTGTCATCTTTCTCCCAGTTCCGTTTAGCATCTCCTCTGCGTCCTCTCCCAGCCTTCGCTGGTCTGAAGCGGAAAGCAGCTGTTTGCTGGCACAGTCTCCTCTCGCTGTCCCCAGGACCTCCTCACACTTCTCCTTCATAACCCTCCTGCACAGGCAGTTCTCTCGGGATTGCTTTTGAGTAGTGCTGAGACTTAATTTCCAGTGCACAGCCAGTCTTGTTTTGTCTCTACTCCCATTCTGTCCTTTCTCCATATTATTTTGAAATAAATCCCTGGTGTGCCATGATTTCCTCCACAGACGTTTTAGCATGTGTCTCAACAAGGGCCCTTCATAAATATGACCACAATATCATTAGCACACCTAAGTTACTAAATGCTGCAACAGACCCAGTGAGCTCAAATGTTGGATTGCTTCACAGTTGCCACTAATACTCTTCATTTTGCTGTATTAAATCGAGGATCCATGTGAAGTACAAAAGTTGCTATTGGTTGACATGCCTTTTAAATCCCTTCTAAATATACAAGCTATCCCTCCAACTCCTGGAATTTTACGGATTTTTAAACTATTTGACATAATTCCTTACGTGTCTCATTAAATGTTTATTTTATTTTAAATATTTCTAACTCTCTTTGTATAAAAAAATTAGAAAAGAGAATCTGATCATTTGAGACTTGATATAGATATGGCCAGTTGTCTGAGACAGTTTTCTTTTTCCACTATGTAATTGGAAAGCCAGTCACTTGGTAGTTTCCTAAAGGGACCAGGTACATAGAATTACAAAGTATACTTCTTTAAGAATTACATTTATTTTGTAAATGCATGCATTTAAATGTGTGTGAGTGCATGTGTGCATATGTATATGCATGCATGCATGAGTGTGTGCATACATGATTTTGCAATGCATGCATGGAGGTCAGGAGACAACATGCAGGAGTGAGCTAACTCAAGCTGTCAGCCTTGGCTGCATCTTTACCCGAGTCATCTCAGTGTGCTTTTGCAAGGTCCTAAGGAGGAATTCTCATAAACCCTAAAGTGTGATAAAATAAGATTTTAGATTGAAATTAGAATAACTTTATGGTGTCCAATTTTCACCCTTAGTAAACCAATGAATAACCCCACCATCTGAAGATGGGTCCAGAGCCTATAAGATATGACATCAGACTAAAAAATTTTTACAGCCTTTCCAGGGAGCTAATGTTTAAAGTGACATAAATGAGCAAGGTCGCTTTTGCCTGGAGCATCACAGCTGTTTTATGTTGCTTTGACATCTGTTTATTGTGGCACAGCAGCTTTCATTGATGGAGTCCAATCTTGTCCTTGCCTAATCCTTCTTCTTGAATGATATACAGCATCTATAAAATGTTATCATTTTAATGAATAATTTTCTTCCCCCCTTTTCTTGACCAGAAATAAACTTGAAAAGAGTAGAGCATTCAGAGTGAAATGTGAAATAAGAGCTTTCTCTCTGTTCACTCTACTCATTTTCTCCTGGTCTTAGGAGCTGGGAACCCCAAGTGTAAAATCGCAATTGTTTTGGGAAGAACAGAAGCTGCTTCTCTATCCAGGTAATAATGCGGCTCTGATGGAGAGGGTCATGGAAGAGTGAGCCAGATGTTCTTTCTGTCCACTTATTCACTTAAATTGTACCACAGGGACATCCTACCAAAATATAAGATAATGCTAATGATTAATGTTGTATATCTGCATCTCAAGTATTTGGCTTTCCAAGTCTATGTGGAAAACAATTTAAGGAGCGAAACTGCACACTCCTTCCTGTAGAACCTCTGGCATTAGCCAGTGGCTGCTGTGGTTGGAAGTACAGGTCAGTGACCTCAGCACTCAGGAGGTGATAGAGGCGAGAGGATCAATCAAGTCCAGCCTGCTCCACACACAAGTTCCAGGCCAGCCTGCGTTAAACAGTGAGACCAAACCAGAGGGGCAGGGCAGGGAGGGTAAAGTGTTCATGAGTCTCGAAAGATACTTGGATAAAATGATTAGAAATTGAAATTTTCATTGTTCAGTGGTAGAGAACACTGAACAGTGTCCAAAGCCTTGGTTTAATCATTGGTGCTGTAGAAGAGAGGGAGAGAAAGAAAAATACTCGGGGTTGTCTGAAATATGGAAGCTTTTGGATGTGCGTTTTGTTGTTGTTGGGGTTTTTGTTTTGTTTTGTTTTTTGTTTTGTTTTGTTTTTCAAGACAGGGTTTATCTGTATTGTTTTGGAGGCTGTCCTGGAACTCACTTTGTAGACCAGGCTGGCCTTGAACTCACAGAGATCCGCCTGCCTCTGTCTCCCGAGTGCTGGGATTAAAGGCATGCACCACCAACCCGACTTGGATGTGCATATTAAAGACAATTGTTTTAAAATGTTTAATTTTGGATGTCAGTTGTCATTCACCATTGTTGAGTAGTGAGGCGCCTCAGGTTCTGTTTGGTTTTGAATCATTGTTTGTGTTCCAGATCACAGCCTGTGACAGATTGGGCTAAGTATGTCGTTCATGCACTTACGATTCCAATCATCTTTGCTTATGTGATCTTATGAAAACTACAGTCATCTCAACTCTTAGCACTGTTTCCCTAATGTTGTTTATCTTTTGTGCAGACACAAACAACACAGCATGATTCTTGTTCCAATGGACACACCTGGAGTAGAGCTGATAAGGCCTCTGTCAGTGTTTGGCTACCTAGGTAAGCACTCAGTAAACAGGTCTGTCAGCATGATTCTTGTTCCAATGTACACACCTGGAGTAGAGCTGGTAAGGCCTCTGTCCGTGTTTGGCTACATGGGTAAGTGCTCAGTGAGCAAGTCTGTGCATTACACGCAGGAAGATGGAGTCTGCAGAAACTTGGAAGGGAATCAGCAGTGTTGTTGGACATAAGACAAACCTTAGGAATCCCTTCGGCCCCACCAGCTCTTAGTGCACTAGCGAAGGTCCAGAAAGAGCAGATAAGAATTGGGCATTGGGCTGTGGCAGCGCTGCTTCCTGCCTCATTGCTTACGCTGTGGAAAGGACAGGTTGTCCTCAGGAAACAGTACTGACTGACAGCCTATGTGTGTTTGTATACTTAGAGAGGAAACTCCAATTGTGAGGAAGAAGAGAGCCAACATTTCAAACATTGAAAGTGAGGAAGCAGTGGGAGTTTCTCATTTTCTCATTTTGGAAATTAATGTCTGCCGATACTGTGAGTCTGCTCAAGGGGATAAATGAAACAGATGGATAAATCAATTTGACATAATCCACTAAAATTTATTTATTTATTTTTAATTTCTGTGTTCAGGTCTCTTAACCAATCAATAAGAGGTTAGTAAGCAATGAGATGAGTTTTGATTTATTTGGGTAAAAAACATTTCCTTTTATTCTGGCCTTGGGTAGAATTTCTAAGAAATTTATTTGTTTCCTGCCACTCACTGTGGGGAACATAGCTGCTGTGTCCAAGCCACTGAGGTCAGCCACTCATGAAGAGGTTTTTGTGAATGTGGTAGATTAAGGTCCTTCCATTGGTAGCTTACACATTGCAGGAGCAAAAGAAGTAAAGGCAAGAAGCATCCTAGATTGGAAGTTAGGATGTTATCAGTGATACAGGCTACGAACATGTCAACAAGACTTCGTGCTCTGTGTTGAGTGTGACTGGTGACAGGTTTGAATAGAAGTCTTATAGAATGTTTGCCATCATTAGCTTCTGTAGAAGAGGCTAGACGGAGGATATATCACAGAGAAAGTATGGGAGCAAGATAGGACAAACAAGCTGACAGGAGGACCACACACACACACACATACACACACAGAGTTGCTGGGTGGTATCTTAGTTAGGAGTTTATTACTGTGGTGAGACACCATGACCACAGAAATTCTTACAAAGGAAAACATTTAATTGGGGTGGCTTACAGTTCCATCCATTATCATCATGGTGGGAAGCATGGCATCATGCAAGCAGATGTGCTGGAGCTGAGAGACCTACATCTTTCAGGCAATAGGAAATAAACTGACTGCCACACCCAGGGAAGCTTGAGGAAAAGAGACCTCAAAGCCTACAGGGACACATTCCCTCCAATAAGGCCATACCTCTTAATAATGCCCCTCCCTTTGGGAACCATTTTCTTTCAAACCACTACATTCTACTCCCTGGTCTCCAAAGGCTTGTAGCCATATCATGATGCAAAAAAAAAAAAAATATTCAGTCCAACCTCAAAAATCCCCATAGTCTTATCACACTCTCAACAATGTTTTAAAGTTCTAAGTCTTTTCTGAGACCCATACAATCTTTTAACTATATTCAGTCTATAAAATTCAAAAATCAAAAAGTAGATCATGGGCTGGAAAGATGGCTCAGCCGTTAAAGGCTAGGCTCACAACCAAAAAGTAGATCATATATTTCTAACAATTAATGGCACAGACTATACATTCCCAAACACAGGGAAGAGAACATAGCAAGAAAATACTGGATCAAAGTAACCAAAAATCACCTGGGCTAACTTCAAGCTCTGCATGTCCATGTCTGATATCAAAATGCTCTCCATGCTCCAACTCCTTTCATCTTTGTTGACTGCAACACATTTCTTTCTTTTGGGTTGGTTCCATTCCCAGTTAGAAGCTCTTCTTGACAGGTATCCCATGACTCTGGCATCTCTAACATTTTGGGTTCTCCAAGGCAACCCAGACTTTAACTTTATAGCATTCAGAGACCACCTCCCCTGCTGTGTGTGGGCTCTGCAGCTTTATTCCATAACTCCTTTCTTCTATCCTTAACTCTAAACACAGAACCACATGGTCAAAGCTGCCAAGTTCTGCTGATTGCTGGGGCTGGAACATGCCCCCCTTGTTCAATTACATCTTTACCAGTTTTCTGTGTTTTACTGCCTAAGCTTGACTGTCTTGAAACTTGCTCTGTAGACCAGATATCCACCAGCCTCTGCCTTCCCAGTGCTGGGATTAAAGGTGTGCCACACCACACCTGGCTCTAAGCTGTTCTTTAATTCCTTTCCATATTTTGGAAACTTAGCTGGGATCTCCTTGAATGCAGGACTTAGCTCCATCCCACTTCCTGGTGTTCATTTTCTCCCCAAATTTTTCATTTTGTAATTTGCCCTGCTCAGTTTGCTCCTTTTCATTATAAATCTTCATTAGAGTTACCATTAAAAATCACACAACAGAGTATACCAGGCTGTTTTGAGATTTCCTCTGGCAGTGGAATTAATCCCAAATTCTTCACTTTAGCCTCAGTCAGACTCTTTGGACAAGGGCAAAAAGCAGCCTTTTTCTTCACCAAAGTCTCACAAGAATGATCTCTAGACAACATACTAAAATTCTCCTCTGAAACCTCTTGAATGAGCATCCCCCCCTCAGTTCAAATAACTCTTAGCATCTCTGACTCATTAAGCAGTGCTAAAAGCATTTCACTGATTTTCAAACCCAAAATACCAAAGTCCAAATTCTTCCAAACAAGCAATGGTCAGGCCTGTCACAGCAATATCCAGTCCTTGGTACTGACTTCTGTTTTAGTTAGGGTTTCTATTGCTGTGAGGAGACACCATGACCATGGCAACTCTTATAAAGAAAACATTTCATTGGGGTAGCTCAATTACAGTTTCAGAGGTTTGGTCCATTATCATCATGATGAGGAGCATGGTGGCATGCTATAGTAGCTGAGAAACCTACGTCTTGCAGGCAACAAGAAGTTGCCTGGCAGTCACACTGAGGAAAGCTTGAGCAAAAGAGACCTCAAAGCCCACTCAGGCAGTGACACACTTCCTCCAAGGTCACACCTCCTGGTAGTGTCACTCCCTGTGGGGGCCATTTCCTTTCAAACAACCATAGGTGACAACCTGAAGGTACCAAAACTGAATCTAAAATGTGGGCTAACTACAGGAGCTCTGTGCCTCTGAGCCCACTTCCATATTTTCAGCCTAGCAAATGCACCAGCATCACTTCAACTTCCTGTATCCCATGTCCAAAAGAAATGACAAGAAAGGAGGTGGAATTTGCCTGAGACTGTCTCTAGAATTGGCGGGGAGGAGGGATGATTCAGATGCAGTAGGAATGCAGTCATGATCACTGTGATACAGGTGTCATCATTTTCAAGCGGTAGTGGAAGGAGTACAGACCTAGGGTGGCAGACAGAAATGGTGGTTGTATGTCGCACCTGCTGTGCGGCCTGCATCCGAGAATGTAGCGAGGTGGTCGGGATAGATGACACAGAGACCGGTCAGTTGCTTTAAGAAAACTTTATGCTTCCCAAGTCAGCTTAGGAGGAGACCCCAGTCCGCTTAGGAGAGAGCTCTCAGGAGAAGTCTCTCCAAGAAAAAAGAGCTTCCCTTTTTTAAGGACTTTTGTCATCCATCTACATACAGTTCTTTCCAGACTTCTCACCCTCCTCGCTGGTGGTTTAATCTCCCGCCCCAGAATGGGGGGGGGGGGGAGACACCGCAGGGGGGACAGGAAGAGGCATCTAGCCGTAGGGGGTGTGAAAGTCATGGTATCTCAGTGAGCGAGCCCTTATCTGAGCCCTATCAAGAGCTTTAAAGCACTGAATTGTTTTCAGTAAACATTACACAGCTACCTGCTCCCAGGCCGAAGGGGAAGTGGGTTTCTGCTCAAGGTCTGGTGTCCCCACAATTCACCCCTTTTTTATTTTTAAATGAGGCACTCCTGGCTTAGGTCAAGTAGGGTCACCCTCCCTGGCCCGTCTTTGGGGGACCTTGAACCCCTGTCTTAGGTGGGAGGGGGTCTTCCCCACAGGTTGTCCGTCTTTGGAGTGGCCCCACCCTTAGAATCATCTGTAATAAGGCTTTATGGCTATCGGGATTGCCATGGGCTAAGGCACTTTGAACTCAGCATGAAGCCAGAATGCCTACTGTCACTGTTACCATTCCTAGGACCCCCACTGACATAGCACCTCTCTGTCATCTGCCCATCCCCTGATCTGGGCCTTAGCATTCTACCACCAGCCTTTCTTTGCTACAAGGGTGATTTATAGTTACAATTTGACGGTCAAAACAGTGATAACGTTTACAATCATTTTAAGATCTACTTAGGAAAGCATTAGAGAGTGCACTTGCACAGATACATTAGGTACAATCATTGATGTTACACATGTAGCATTATAAAAAATATGAACAAGAGGCTTGTGCACTATTTACAGAGTACCAATTTGTTCCTGTGGTGATGCAGTCTGTCGATTTAATGTCAGTAGTATTAGCCGAACATGCAACCCAAGTCAAAGTCTTTTTGTCGCACCAGGACAAACCACATTTCTCCAGAAAAACACACTGGCATAGGTGTGATTCTAGAAACAGGAACTACCAAGTCTGATATTTCAAGTGACCATGTCCTGTTCAAATACTGAAAAGAGGCTTTTGCCACTCATCACAGTCCATACCAATGTCCAAATGTTTTAAATGGGTCCTTTTTCCCCCAAAGGGAAAAGCTGGCAAAATGAATTCTGTTGTTTTAAGGTGTATCAAAGGCTAGCTGCTAATCTTCCAGTTTTGTTGGCTTTGGGATGAAAACTCATGGGTCCAGGAGGTTGATGTAGCAAGCCTGATGAGAAACTGGAAATCTCGAACTGACTGTTTTATTTCTTTCTCGGGCTGTAGATTTGATGACATCAAGGGTCAGGAACACCGACTTAGGAGATCTAGAACTGGCTTGAGCAGGCTCCCACAGTCTTAGGTCCAGTTTTCTCTGCTCCATGCATCTCACCAAATGTTGTGACAGCTACTGAAGCTTTATTCTTTTCCTGTAAGAAAACACAAACATGCCCTCCACCCCAAATTAGGGTCTTCTCTACTGTCTAGTGTATGGATGTTTCCATTTGACCTGAGCAATAGTTGTTTAACTTTCATTATGTCAGAATCTGTCTGAAGCAGATTCCTCACTGGCATTTACATCTTAAAAATTTTTAAATGAGGAGTGGATAATTTAATAAATCATGTGGGGACTGGGGACATTACTCCCCCTTTTATTTTTAAATTGTTTGAACTGTTGAAGTTGGACCATAACAGTAGAAGGATTTGTCTACCCTCCTTAGTCAACTATCTAGGTGAATTGGGATCACTATTTAAATTATTAGTAGATGTCCTTTAAAAGGGACATAACCATTAAGTACCTTTGAGAATCATTTAAGGATTGTAAACTATACTATGTCCCAAATAGTCCCTTTTTTTTTTTTTTAACCTGTAGCTCTCACTAGCTGACAAGGCCTCGTTTGCATCTGAACTGACAAGGCCTAATTTGCATCTACACAGACGCCTTTGGGGGTGGGGGCCTGCCAAAGCGGCAGGACAGTTCCCTGAAAAAACCTCTCTCTCTCTTTTTTTTTTTTTTTTGGACTGGCTCTGAGGGCTTAACTTGAATTTTTTTTGTTAAGATATTAACCGACTGACTGGATGTTTCTTTTGGCTATATTTAAATCGATTTAGGTAGTTTTTAACTGTTTGAAGGGATTTAAGTATCCCTTTAATCATATCCAAGGCAATTAGAACAGTTGCTTTTGTCAACATTTATGCATTTACATTTCACACTTCATACATACTGATGTGGCCCCGTCCATACACACAAACCATGCATACATATTTCTCCTTTTGCCTAGGTTATGATTAGTTTGTTGAACTGAAACTTCTTTAACAGAACAACTCCAGTCAATCTTTGAATTAAAACAAAAGGTTGAAAAAGTCCTGTATGTCCCTCATCATTTTTTCATTAGAGAAGTTTTGAGCTACACTCAGGGGCTACAGCCATACCCACTCCTTGTAATTCTGTAGATGTAAAGTGGAAAGGCCAGGCTTTTGCCAAAAGTTTTTAGAGATGACTCACAAAATTGACCTTAAATTTGTATCAATAACCTACCCCATATAAATGTAACCAAACATTTTTATTTTATATACCTTTGCCTTTTTCTTTACTGAATACTAACATCTCACTTATTAACTTTACCATTTTTTTTAATTTACCCATCTTTAATCTATCCTCCCATTGAGGATGATCCTCCAATCCACCCTCCAACTGAGGGCAACTTCTTATCTTAGGTTCCCTTTTTTTCCTGACCTTTGTTAGGTGAGGGCCTAGACATTTAATCCAATCCACCCTTTAACTGAGGGTGATCTCTTAGGTTCCCTTTTTTTTTTTTTTTCCTGACCTTTGTCAGGCAAGGTCCTAAACATTTAATCTGGTACCCCTAGCTTGGTACCCCCCTTTTTAATACATACTTATAGCCTTACTTGTTGACTATCCTTTTAGATCTCTGAGTTTTCCTTTACTTTCCTGACCTTAGTGGATCAGGTGAAAGACTGGCCTTATTTATTAACTTTACCAATTTTTTAAATTTACCTATCTTTAATCCATCCTCCCATTTAGGATGATTTTCCAATCCACCCTCCAACTTCTTAGGTTTCGCTTTTCTTTTTTGACCTTTGTTAGGCAAAGGCCTAGACATTTAATTTGGTACCCCTAGCTTGGTACCCCCTTTTTAATACATCCGTACTTATAGCCTTACTTGTTGGCCAGTCTTTTAAATCTCTCAGTTTTCCTTTACTTTCCTGACCTCAGTGGATCAGGTGAAAGACTGGAGATTTTTTATTTTATTTCTTATTTTACCCTCCTTTTTTTTTTTTTTTTTTTTTTTGACTGGGTTTCTCTCTATCCTTTTGGAGGCTGTCCTGGAACTCTCTCTATATACAAGGATGGCCTCCATCCTACCTACCTTTGTCTCTCGAGTGTTGGGATTAAAGGCATATGCCACCAACACCCGACTCTAAAGATCATAGTGAACATCCTTCCAATGTGGGACATTTAAGTCTCCCCCAGTAATGAACCATGGACTCGCACGTTCAATCCATTTTAAAAAGCCTTCCAAGGTTTTAGACTTTACTGTCGTCCCATGTCCTTCAAGTAACTTTTTAACTTGATACTGTAATTTAAGCTTCCCAGAACTATTCCCCATAGTTTCTTTTCTTTTTTCCCCAATCTGTCCCTGGCCAGAAAAAGAGACCTGTTTTGGACTTTTAGATTTTTTAAAAAAATAATTTCCCCAAACCACCTGATCTTTGGATCACATTTATGTACATACGTGCCATGGAACCTGGTCCACCATTTCCATAGCTTTGCAACTTCAGATGACAGATTAAAAGACCTCTATCAAATAGTTTCTCAGACCTCTTCTAACTCCAACAGTTGAGTTTGCTGTGACATCAAGTGCTGTGGGCTGAAGGCTGTGTTCTACCCTAGAGTGTCTATAGTACATTCATCTTTCAAATGTTCCTTTCACTGAATACTTGATAGCAGAGTCACTATCTATGCTTCCTTTGCTCACCTCATTTTGTATTTTACATTATTATTTTCTGTTTTCTAGATAATATTCATGGTGGACACTGGGAGGTCCATTTTAATCATGTGCGAGTTCCTGCTACCAATTTAATACTGGGTAAGTATTAATCCCTCCCCCAGTATTGTGTGTTCCTATCCCCAAGTCTGCATATGGAAAAGATACACAACCCTAACTTAGATACTTCCCGCCTTATCCCAGTTATCAAGGAAAGTGTTCATTTTGTGTGTTTTTCTTATCTGGAATGATATGGTTTTATCTGAATGTTAAATGAGAGTTTTATATTTTATATCGGCTGGAAGCATAGCTGAATACAAACATTGTCCAATTCAGAGCAAAATGTCTTTTCTAAAGGCATGGCCAGGGGCTCCCTATTAGTTTTAAGAAAATGTCAATACTTTCTTTGAATTCAGATCCAAGAGAGAATAAACAGAATAAAAACTTAAATGTTCACTACATGCCTGAGATGAATCCATATTTCCATTCACTGGAAACCTCCTCAACCTTCAAAGAGTGTTTCCCCCGACAGGCCCTGGGATTACAATGGAGGACAATTGGTCCTTCCTTTGCTTTCCTTATCTCTCTGTGTCACCCTCATCCATGTCCTTTTTTCTGGACTCTAGATTCCTAAGGCAGGGAAGGTACGTCACCCTCCTTTGTAGCCACAGTAGCACTAATGACGCAACTGATACTTTACTCCAGGGACAGTCCTTACATTAGACCGGAATCCAAATCTCCCTACATCAAAATGAACTTTATTGCAAACTCGACTCTCTCCTCACCAGAAGACTGTTTACATTAAGGGCAGCTCTGCTTGTCCTAGAATTCATGTAGATAAGAGGGCCTGGCTGGGCCACCGTCATGCTCTGTTTGCTTTCTTGCAGGTGAAGGCAGGGGGTTTGAAATTTCCCAAGGCCGCCTTGGACCTGGAAGAATCCACCACTGCATGAGATCTGTGGGCCTGGCAGAGCGCATGCTGCAGCTCATGTGTGAGCGAGCGGTGCAGAGGGAAGCCTTCAAGAAGAAACTGTACGAACATGTAAGAGGATCTTGAATGTCCTTGAACTTGCTGTAGCCTGCTAAGCTACCTTAGTGAGAAGAGCATCTGTGCTGGAGTCTCTGCTGTGTGCGTGGTCACATCCTACATGAGAAGTTCATTTCCCCTTGGGAAAGATGAACAAGTACTCGTGATCTTCAGCCCCCAGCACATGGAGTGTAGAGAGTGTAGAGAACCTGGAACATCACCGCTCACTGACGTCTTGGGGGCGTTGTCGTAGAAAAAGAACGTGCCTTGTCCTTTGGGTTTGGGGAACGAATTAGAACAGAAAAGTGTAAATACAGAGGAAAGCAGTGCATTGCAGGTCACCTCTGTCTCATCAGCCGGCTCCCAAATAACCACACAGAGAATTATGTTTATAAATGTTCATCTAATATCTCAGGCTTGTTATTGACTAGCTGTTACATCTTAAATTACTCCATCTTTCTTATTTACGCTCTACCACATGGTGGTACTTTTGTCAGCATGACAGTTTCATGTCCTGCCTGAGCCTGCCCTTCTTCCCTGATCTTTCTGTCTGCAAGCCCCACCTCTCCTCTGCCTGCCTAGCATTGGCCAGTCGGCCATTTTATTAAACCAATCAGAAGGCACCTTGGCAAAGACATATCTTCACAGTGTACAGAAAGATTATTCCATAACAGTACATAACTCAAGAGAAAGAAGGAATATTCTGTGATAGATTAAAACAATGGGATGGCTGATTCTGGAGGAAAGCAATTTGCTACTGATGGAAAAACATAGAAATGGTGCCACCATTTTGTCAGAGATACATGGTTTTTGAATTTTCATCTATAAATGATGTGCCATTGAATCTGTTATTTACAGTCCAGTATAAATTACAAACAGGCAGTAATCAAGTCATGTGTGACCTCAGAATGTTTCACAGAGCCTCTCATTCTTTCCTTCCTTCTTTTTTTTTCCTTGGTTTTTCAAGACAGGATTTCACTGTGTAGCTCAGGCTGTCCTAGATTTTCTTGTATACCAGGCTGACCTTGAACTCACAGACTCACAGAAACCACTTGCCTCTGCCTCTGGAGTGCTGGGATTAAAGGCCTGTGCCACAACTGCTTGACCACAGCAGCTTTTTGCTTAGGTTTGTAGGAGGAAGCCTGTATGCTGCTATTAACCATGTGACTTACTAGAGGCCCATACAGATGAGGTAATAAAGGAGCGGTTTACCACACTGCTAACCACACCCACTTTAAGCATGATTGAAGACGTATACAGACGTAAAGACGTATATGTGCATAGGCGGTGAACTATGTCACTAGACAGGCCCACTTTTGGGCATGGCTAGGGAGTGTTACGGGGGAAGGCATAAAAGAGAGCACAAAGGAAGTCTTGGTCTCTTTGGAAGGCACAAAAGACAGCACAAAGGAAGTCTTGATCTCAAGACTTCCTTTGTGCTGTCTTTTATGCCTTCCCCAGTAACGCCCCCTAGCCATGCCTCTTAATCATGGCCTCAGTTCCAAAAACCAACAAAATAGAACCACGGTCCTATTCCATTATTTTACTTCTGTCTTATATCATAGGTTTATTTGTTTTGTTGGTTTGTTGAGACAGAGTCTTTCAGTGTAGGCCTGGTTGTCTTAGGATTCACAGAAGACCACCTGCATTCACCTTCCAAGTGCTGGGATTAAAGGCGTGCACAAGCACATCCAGGTTTCACTTTGGTTTTTGTAGGCTACGTTTTGCTAAGTATTCCATCTTCAGTGTTGGTTCTGAAAGCAGTGCTGACAGATTCAAATACTAATATTAATAATAGCAGCATTGTAGCAGAGGAGGGGCTGGAAGGAGGGATCTACAAAATACAATGGCATTAGTTGCTTAACACTAATATTTGTGAAGCATTTGTGCTCGCTCAACATGGATATGGTTTGTTCACAACATTGTTCTTAAGAAGAATGCAGCCAGCCACGTGACACCATGCCCAGCAACAATTTATAGGAATCCCCTTGGTACATAGAGAACACTAGGAATCAGCGGTTGAGGAGCACTATGGCCATGACGAGTAAGGCCCTGTTGCTGCCAAAAAGGACTCATGGCACTCACCATGACTTCTTGTCAGTATCTTTTCGAGTTGGCCATATAAGTGCTGAAGCAAGGTGAAGGGAGGACCCGGTGGGGTTTCCAGCAGGTCCTTGATAAAGGTGAGGAGAGGACATGGTTGGAAGTCCGGCAGGTCCCCCGATAAATGTTCTGCCCAGGTGCTTTTGAGTGATATTTTTTTTGAGGCAGGATTTTCTGTAGTCCTGGCTGTCCTGTAACTCACTGTGTAGACCAGGCTGGCCTCAAACTCAGAGATCTGCCTGCCTCTGCCCCCTACCTGCTGCCCCTGCTCCACAGTGCTGGAATTAAGGCATACGTCACCACACCTGACCTGAGTGGTGTTTTCATGCTATACCAGGCAGGATTTCTCTCCTGTCCTTTAATGTATCCTGCTGCTCCAATGAGATCTTTAAAAACCTGTGTCTCCTACTAGTCGACCCCTCTTGCATCTGGCTTGAATTAATTGAGCTGACAGAAGCAGAAAGAGAACGTGTAGGCATGTCATAAACAAGATTCTGCTCCAGTTCTTTCTTCAATTTGTAAAAATGACATTTGTTTCCCCGAATGTGGAGACTCCTTCCAGCTGCCTTCTAAATTGTTCCAGTTCTAAAACAGAATTTCATCTTAGTTAATACATTGGGCTATTTCCTGGAGCTTGCAATTTCCACCCTTCAGTACTTTCCAGCAAATCTGGGGTCTGAGGAAACCCAGCCGGGAACTCAGTCTCTAATTCTAAAAGCTAAGAAGGAAGTACATTTAAGTCTGTTCATGAAGTTGTGATTTCCCTGTTTTTCATTAGTCAAAAAAATTCATCCACTTCTGGCAGCTTGCTTGAAATTAATTATGAGCCTGTTTATACCTGTAAGGCCAGTCCTAACCCAGTAAGTACTGGGACCACAGACCACCACCATGCTGATTCTGTGGCTGTGTTTTTGAAAAGTAAGAAAAAGCAGATAAAGTTTATCTAAGAATATTTTTAGCCAGGTGTGGTGGCACACGCCTTTAATCCCAGCACTCAGGAGGCAAAGACAGGTAGATCTCTGTGAGTTCAAGGCCAGCCTGGTCTATACAGGGAGTTCCAAGATGCCAGAGCTGTTAAAGATGTTTTTTTTTTACTTGACCCAATATATGTGATCACATGAAATCGATATAAAATAGGATTAGTGAGATAGTTTGCATTGTATAATTGAGTGCATATTTTATACTTCATATTGCATTTACATTCAAATTAGATATACTTCAAGTCTTAGAAGCCACATGTGGCTGAAGAAGGGTGAGTGAGCCTAAGATGGCTGTGGGAGATTCACATGGCTTGGATTGAGTTCCATAACTTGCTGGTCAGGCTTAGCAAGCATAACACGCAACAGTTCTGTGTTTTAAAATGGGAACCCAGAAAAATCCATCTTGATCATCTAATATCATTTACTGTGTCCCCTGTGCTCCCATGCTGAATTATGAATGTCTACTTGCTTCCGAGATTTATGGTACATCCATCCATACATACATACATATGGTACATCCCAGGTGACACATCCCGCACATCCGTGTGTTACATCTATATGGTACATCCATATGGTACATATGAACCCATGTTCATGTACTTACCTTGTCAGTTCTAAGTTCTAACAAATGAAAAAAAACTCACAGAATTTTCACTGAGATAAGTGAGAAGCAAGCACTCATTTTTACTATTTTAAGATTACCGCCACACATACAGATGTAAGAAATAATGCTGGGCCGGGCGTTGGTGGTGCACGCCTTTAATCCCAGCACTCGGGAGGCAGTGGCAGGCGGATCTCTGTGAGCTCGAGACCAGCCTGGACTACCAAGCGAGTTCCAGGACAGCCTCCAAAGCCACAGAGAAACCCTGTCTCGAAAAACCAAAAAAAAAAAAAAAAAAAAAAAAAAAAAAAGAAAGAATGCTGAAAGATCCCTTCTTTTACCTAATTCTGTTCAGTTTTAACAGCTTACACAGCTATAGTACCATATCAGGATGAGTGATGTTAGTGTTGTCATGGATACCTTTAGGCTACACATTTTCCATCACTACAGGCTCATTTAAGCTGTCCTTTTATGAAGCAAGCTCTCTACACTCTCACCATTGACTCCTAGCAACCACAATCTGCTCCATTTTGAGTAATTTTTCATTCCAGGCGTGGGATAACATAATATGTAAGCCTTTGGGGATTGGCTGTTTTCCTCAGCCATCATTCTTTGGAGACTCACAAAACTGTGTGCTCAGTAGCCAGTTGTACTGCTGAGCAGCATCCCTTTGTACAGCCTTCCTGCAGGTGAGCTATGCATCTGCTGGGGGCACCTGCGCCATTTATGGTTTTACAGTTTGGGTTGTTATGCAGCTGGCGGTAGGTGAGTGCTAACTCTGCATTTATCTGAGACCCATGCCGGGAGAACAGTTCCTGAGCAGTATGGTTATTGTGTGTTCAACTCACAAGCTGTATATAAATGGTCCAGTCCAGTTTCTGTGCACCCCCACCAGCATGTGATGGTTTCACAACTTTCTTTGTTTAGCATTCTGTTTGGTTTTTAATGATAAGTCAGACTACTTTAGTTGATGTCACCCTTATAGGGGCATCTTGTCATCATTTGCCATATTATTCCTTTGGACTCATGTCTGATGCCCATTGTCTGCCAGGATGGTTTCCTGCTGAGTTAGTTTGACATTCTAGGTGCTGTACTTTATCATCAGCTCTATGGTTTTCAACCATGTCCCCCTTTGGTGTTTTCCCCATCCTCTAACGGGGTCTTCAACAGGGCAGAAGTATTTGGTTTCAGTGACTCTCACTTGTCCCACTGTGTTCGTGGCCCAGGTTGGACATCAGTCTGAGGTCTTTTCTTTGGCCTCCGTGTACTGGGGTTTTATCTGACAGTTTTCCCAAGGCCTTGCACTTTGTCCGGGAGCACAGAGCAGTCAGTCATGATGTGAAGACGGCCTTCGAGTCCTGTTCCTGTCTGTTCATTTGCTCCGGCACTTGTTGGAGTGTCTTCCCTCATCTAAGTGCTGGTGTGCCTCTGCAGAAGTCAGTCGGGCGTGTTGGTGGAGGTTCATCTCTGGTTTCTGTTACGTTGAACTCTGTGAGGCTTTCTTTCCCAGCTCTCCACATTTTTATACAACCCGTCTCAAAATAAGTCAGAATGACTCTCTTCCGCTCTTTAAAAGTTCCAGCTACTCTAGTCCCTTTGCTTTCCCACATAGGTTTGCTCTAAAGTTTGCTTTACATGTCATCTGATTATGTTTGTATGACACATCTTTTTCCCCCGTTGTTTTGCCATTTTTGTTATGTCATACCTTAAGAACATGTCTTCAAGACACGAACACTTACAAAAGCAAATAAATACATCAAAGGAAGACAAAAATGCCAAGCATTAGAAGAATGCAGGCTGGAACCACACTGCTATATCTCTGACTAAAAGATTGCTAACAGTACCCAGTGCTTGGGAAATACCCAGGACTATCATATTCAGGGATATAAACACTACCTAGTACAACCACATAAGCCAACTATTTCTTATAAATATTAGGCAGTGGCAAACATTTCCACTTTTGGTGTTTGCTTTTTATAAAATGAAGAGCATATACTCATCCCAAAACCTGTATAGAAATGTTTACAGGTGCTAGAGAGATGGCTCAGTGGTTAAGAGCACTGACTGCTCTTCCAGAGGATGCAGGTTCAATTCCCAGCACCCATATGACTGCTCACAACTATCTGTAACTCCACTTCCAGGAACCTGACACCAATGGCAAAACACCAATGCACATAAAATAAAAATAAATTAGAAATGTTTACAGGAGCTCCATCAATCAGAAGTAGGCATGGCTCTGATATCCCTCTGGAGATGAATGGACAAACAGACTGTGCTCATCCCCAGAATGGAGTCATTCTTAGTAACAAGCATCACTGACAGTTAATAAACAGCTGGACACCAGATGAAGGCAGCCATTCTCCATCAAGCTCATGCTAGATGATCTCACTACACAGCATTACACACCCTGGAAAAGGCAAAGCTATAGAGACGACCTGTTGTGGCGGGTGGGTTTGGGTGTATAGGACTGTGAGACCAGCAGGCTGTTGCTCTCGGGAAATTTGAGGGATGAAACTGTTGTATGTTGCACATTAAATAAACTCTCAGAGCTGTTCCCACAAGATCTTCCTATTCTTTTAGGAGATGGGTTCTATTTGTTCATTGTGTGTATGGATGTTTTGTTTGCATGTGTACCAGAAAGGGCATCAGATCCCCTGGAACTGGAGTTACAGAAAGTTGTAAGATGCCACATGGGTGCTGGGAACTGAACCTGGGTCCTCTGGAGAAGCAGCCAGTGCTCTTAACCGCCAAGCCCTTTCTGCAGCCTGGATGTTTTGTTTTGTTTTGGAGACAAGGTCTCATGTAGCCCAAGCTGGCCTTGAACTCCTGATTCTTCTGCTTCTACTTTCCAAGTGCTGGGGTTTATAGGCACGAGGCACTTCTCCAAGCATGGGAAAGGTCATTTTTACTAAATAGCATCACAGTAAAGAACTGCTGAATCATCCTGAAATTGTGCTGGAAATGATCTAGTTTGATTAGACGCAGATCTTCCATTGCACATATGTGTGATATCAAGGAGGACCGGTAATTAGTAGCCACAAGGGCCACAAGGAGCAGTGTGGCAATAAGATAGATGCTCAGTTTAGCCATCTTAGCATCAGACCATAAGATATTCAAAATAGGTACCTGCCACCATACCTGACAGCCTGAGCCTGGAGATCATAGCACAAGACACGCACATACGCGCGCACATGCACAGAGTTTAAAGCACCCAAAACAAATTATTTTTCTAAGCAAGTAACACTTCTACAATCTTCTCATTTTAACTGGTATTCCATGGGTTTGTAGCTAGACTGCTGTCTATCAAGAGAGTCAAGCCTGTGACTCAAAACTATATACAGCAAGGCTTGTGCCACTACCATCGGCCTAGAAAAGTTTATCAAACTACAGGGCTCCACTGATCCTTCCCTGTCTCTCCTACAGGAGGTTGTGGCTCACTGGATCGCTAAAAGCCGCATAGCCATTGAGGAGATCCGCTTGCTGACCCTGAAAGCAGCGCACAGCATAGATACCGTGGGCAGTGCTGCAGCCAGGAAGGAGGTGAGCCACCTACCCAGTCCACCCCTGCGCCAGCAGCAGGGTCTTCTCCACCTCTCCCACCTCTCCCACTGGCTGTTTCAGGGTCTGTGCCCCCTAATGACACTCAGATTACAGGACGTTTCCATGTGGCTTTGGCTTAAAGACTGGGAATGCTTGTCACCTGCTGGCTTTCCTCTCGCTGGGCTGCCTAAAGGAATGACTTTCAGGATGCAGAATGCCTTAAGAACTGTTAAGATGGGACTGTAAGGGGTGGGAAAGGCGTGGGCTGTCTACATAGCTGGAATCCATGGTGTCCACTGCACCATTCACACTAACCCTGTGTCCGGAGTGTCCAGTATCTCTCTGCCTTTGACATTGGGCTAGATGATGGGTATGGACCATACGGGACGATTCTGCCACATTGTAAATGTCCCACTAACAGCATCCCTGTCTTCTCATGTACCCAGCTTATCTGGAGTAAGGACATACTCATTTTATTTTAAAAGCCATAAAATTTCTAAGGAAAAAAAACCTGATTAACAGAGCAAAGACTGGACTTTGTGTGAGCACAAATGCTCTGAGTGTGATTTACAAGCTGCCTGAAATCCCTTTGGAAACAAAGCAACTTAGAAATAAATGTGATCTGGAAGCAAGATCTCGTTCCAGAAGGTCGCTGCTGACTGAAATATAGCCACTCACTGTTGCCGCAGCCTTCTGTTGGCCTCCACCACAGATCCTGTTCAGTGGTGACTTGGCTGTGGGAAAGCTTCCTTGTTTTACTTCACAGAGAATTACCAATGCTATCAAATCCTGGCACACTTTGCATGTTCTGAGAGACGAACATTCTTTTACTATCTTGCTTATATAGATTGCAATGATCAAAGTGGCTGCCCCAAAAACCGTCTGCAAAATAGCTGACCGGGCCATCCAGGTGCATGGAGGGGCAGGCGTTTCCCAGGATTACCCTCTAGCCAACATGTGAGTACATGTCACTTAAGAATGTTTACACTGAGTGCCGGGGAGATGATGTGGCGGATAAAATGCCTAAGTTTGGATTTCAAGAACCCAGGTAAATGTGGGTAGAGTAGCATCTGTCTGTAGTTTCGATGCTTCTACTTCAAGCCGGGCAGCAGAGGCAAGGGGCATCATAGAAGGTTGCAGGCCAGTGAACAAAGAGGGAGACTGTCCTGTGGTCTCCACACGGGCACTATACTGTCGCTTTATCTTCAGCACAGTTGCTGTGCCTCAATCTGCTGCTCAGGCCACAGCCTAGCAGCAATTCTGTTCCCACAGGCAGTGGCTCTGTCGCCGCAACTAAAGGTAGCTTTAACTAAATCTTTATCATTATATATTCTATAATTATTCTATAAATAAGACTCAAGTAGGATTCAAAGGCTGGGGTGAAAACCTGCTGGCTCAGAGAGGTTGAGAAGCGACCAGCTAACCTCTCCTTGCTAGCATCTCCCAAAAAGCATGTCCGTCCACTCTGCCAAGAGAAAAAAAGCACCACTCCACTCAAAACCCATCCCTGCTACTTCTCTCTCTCTTCCAGATGCCCTCTGATGCTCCATTACTTTCTGTCAGCTGGTTGCTGACAGACCCAAGGTTAATTGTATTTAATTAACGCAAATGCTAACTTGGAATTCACAGTGTGATTGAATAGCCCCCAAAACTATAGTGTGTGCGAGCACACCCTTACACACACATACACACAAACATCATACACAAAAATTTTCAAAATAATATATTTGAAAGGATTGGCATTAAAAATACAAAGACTGAAATAAGTGTCAATCAAAAGATAAAGTTAGTTTTTTAATGTACAGATGCTTGACAGTAATTGTTTAGGAAAAGAATACAGACTTCCTTTATGTAATTGGCGTGGGAGTTGCTGTGGGGTTCAGCTCTAAGAATCAGCTGCTCTTAACTGGGCTTTGTTAACCTTTGCCTGAGGAGTGCACTGAGGGCTTCTGGGCGCCAACAGTGCTTTCTTTCACTTCTGGATGTAGGACTTCCTGACACTGGGTCGGTAAGGCTGTCTGATGGTTATAATCCCAGATTCTGCTTGTTCTGGAAAGTGTCTCTCCTTTAATTCTAAAGGCTAGCTTTGTTGGCTACTGTAATCTTGTTTAGCAGTTACCTCCTTTCACTACTAGAATGCATTCCTAGCTGGCTCATAGGTTTTCTGCTGAGAAGTCTGTGGTTAGTCTAAAAAGGACACCCTTCCATGTGGCTGGGTACTTTTCTCCTGCAGTTTCAATTCCTGTTTTATCTTATACCATTGGCAGTTAAGAACTATCTGCCATGGTGAAGACCCTTTCTGATCTGTCTGTCTGAGGTCCTATTTCTCTTCACTATTTTATTGAATGGAGTTTATATCCTCTGAACTTCTTTTCCTTGCCTCTAGGTATTCTATCTAAAAATGCATTCAGTGAATCCCAGAGCCCTGAACTCACTCCCCGCCCATTGTATGCCTCTGTTGGATGGATGGAGTAGTGCAAAAGAGAGCTGAGAGGAACTTTCCTTGGGTTCAGTTCCCTCCTCGGCACGTGAAAATCACAGCTCCCGCCACCACACCTACGTGCTTTCTGCTAAGCCCCGTCCCTGCGCCTTATGTTCCCACACACTGTTGTAGGAGCAGATGTGCGAGTAGAAGAGTGTGGATGTTCCTGCCTACCCACATGCAACATCTGGCCAGGGACACTGACTCTCGGGGTGGATGTTCCTGCCTGCCCACATGCAGCATCTGGCCAGGGACCACTGACTCTTGGGGTACACGCCTGGTCCTCACTGCTGAGGGCAGGGACCACTGACTCTTGGGGTACACGCCTGGTCCTCACTGCTGAGGGCAGGGACCACTGACTCTCAGGGTACAGGCCTGGTCCTCACTGCTGAGGGCAGGGACACTGACTCTCAGGGTACAGGCCTGGTCCTCACTGCTGAGGGCAGGGACACTGACTCTCGGGGTACACATGCCTGGTCCTCACTGCTGAGGGCAGGGACCACTGACTCTCGGGGTACACATGCCTGGTCCTCACTGCTGAGGGCAGGGACACTGACTCTCGGGGTACACATGCCTGGTCCTCACTGCTGAGGGCAGGGACACTGACTCTCGGGGTACACACACCTGGTCCTCACTGCTGAGGGCAGGGACACTGACTCTCGGGGTACAGGCCTGGTCCTCACTGCTGAGGGTAAGAACCAGAACTAGTAGCACTCCCCCTGAGGAAGTTCCTATCACCCAGTTGGGATCACTGCTCCCACTCTAAAGGTTAATGCTCCCACTGTTGGGGTAACCACACAGAAAGAACCCTACACCCTCATCTGTCTACACCTCTGTCTGAACTGCACGATGTCCCCATTCTTCATGGTCTATAGAGACAGTGTATCACTCTGACTCTGCCACCAAACTTCTTAGTCACAATCAAGAAGCTCCCCTCACTAGTGTCAGTTACCATAGTCCAGAGCTATCCAAGCCTCTGGGCAGCCATCTTGAATCTTCCTAAGCTGGGGTTGTTAAAATGGCTGCTTCAGAAGTCCTTGTCTTTCTGTCTTCATGTTCCTTGTGCTCTTTCCTTTTCCCAGAATGGGATGAACATGACAGTATGGTGTTGTTGGATAACTCTGTGACCCCCACTCTCTCACACTTCCAGGTATGCCATGATCCGCACCCTGCGCTTAGCAGATGGACCTGATGAAGTCCACCTCTCTGCAATTGCCAAAATGGAGCTTCGGGACCAAGCTAGACGATTGACAGCCAGGATGTGAGGGGGGCTGCCCTACCCCATCTCCTGGCTGGAGAGGCTTGAACGCTCTTAATCAGCTCCAAAACTTAGGCCGTCCATTTCTGCAGTAGTTTGAGTACAAGGCTAATTCTTCACCCATGGTAAAGATTTTAGCATCTGTTTTGATTATTGAGTTTTGTAATGTTAAGGATCACACAGATGTGAGGTAATTAGGAAATCCTATGACTGTCATCATTGGGTCTAGTGTCTAACGGTTTAGCATTTGCCCTATACCCGTGTGGCCTGTGACGAGGTGGCACTGGGGCTGTTTCTGGATCATCAGCATGAAGAGCTCTTCCCCTTGACTTCCAGAAACTAAGCCTTGTGAATAGACACCCCAGGTCCCTTTTATCTTGTCTTGAAACATATGTAGTTGTCCCCCTATGATAGTGTTCTGGGGTAGTTTAGCACCTCAGAGAAAGACATAACTGGAGGTTTTCAGAGTGTCCATGAAAAGCCTCTTCCTAACCCAGCAGGAAGCAGTTCTGGTGAGAGTCCACAAGAAAATGTAGCGTGTTAAGAGACCGTATAATCAAGCCCACCTAAGTTACATAGAAAATGCTCACAAGTGTGACCAATAACAGTCTGTGCCACATGGCACTCTTTAGTTCCATGAGAGCTGGTCTGGTCAGTCACCCCTGAGGCTGGTCCTGTCAGAGCTGCCCCTGCAGTGCACTTGTGGGCCACTGCCATTCTCCATACCAAAATGTCACTGGTGCAGTAGAGGAACCAAACTTTTCGTTCAAATGCATATTTTCAGTTTGATTGCTGGGAAAACTGTTAAGTATAGCTGGAAAGGCTTGGGGGTGTGGATCTACTTTATTTAGTATGACTGTTTTGAAATCTCAACACAGAGACATATTTTAAATCAAAATTTGGCATCCAAATAAACAATGTAAAATACATACTGGATTTTAAAAACTCAAGTGAAAATAATTTAAAATAGCTCATTGATCATATATTGAATTATATTTTGGGTTGAATAAAATATTCAATAAAATAAAATATATTTGAGTTGAATAAAATATTCCCAAATCTCTGTTTCTCATTGTATATAGTGTGAATACCACTGCAAAAATAACTGGGAAGATTTTTTTTTTAATTTTCAAACCCTAAAAATCATGAACTTTTTCATCAGAAAGTGTGCTCATGGCTTGCTATTGTGGGTGTCCAAAGATGCTGTCTGTTGTGATTGAGTTTCTTCTTGGGTGGGAGGGGTGGGGAAAGCAGGGGTCTGCTGCAGGCCTGGGCTCAGAGCTGTACCACGTGGACCTTTGCAGCCTGTGCCTCTGGGCCCCCAGCTCCCTGACTCCTTTCTGTGCAGACACAGTGGTCACTTTTTCCCTCCTGGGGAGGTCCTGCTGAGAGCAGCTGAATCTGGAAACACAGGAAAGTGCTTTTACAGTTTCCTTGTTCGCAGCACATCAAACCCTAGGACCAAGTGTGCCTTACTAGTAATTCTTTAAAGTTTTGGTTTAGCTGTCAGAGGGATCACTTGTTTGTTTGGACAGCTGGCCTTGAACTTGGAATCCTCCTGCCTCTGCCTCCCAGGATTATGAGCATATACCACCATGTCTGACCTCAGGTTGTCTTCTGTTGGTTTCATTTTGTCTTTTAGCAGTCTGAACTAAGGTTCATATATCTAGAATCTCTTAAGCACTTTCTGTCTCTGTGGAAACCTTACTTATTGTCTTCTTGTTGCTGACCCTCAGGCAGGTCACACCATGTGACCCACATGTCTTTTCCTTACCTTTAGTTTACTCAGACAAAAATCACATTAAAATGAACAGAGGAACAAGGCCAATAAGATGGCTCAGTGGGTAAAAGTACCTGCAGCCAAGTCTGGTCACCTGAATTCAGTACTGGGACCCACGTGATGGAAGGAGGGAATTCCATACAAACCCACAAAACACACACACACACACACACACACACACACACACACACACACACACACACACACACACACACACACACACATATATATATATAGAGAGAGAGAGAGACAGAATAAATAAATGCAAACATTTTCAAAAGGAAACAAAAGTTGGCTTTTTGGGGTGGGGTTCAAGACAGGGTTTCTCTGTATTGTTTTGGAGGCTGTCCTGGAACTCGCTCTGTAGACCAAGCTGGCTTCGAACTCACAGAGATCCGCCTGCCTCCCAAGTGCTGGGATTAAAGGTGTGTGCCACCAATGCCCAGCTAACAAAAGGTTTTTTTTTAAGTGAAAAAGTTTCATTATAAAATAGGAGTGAGGGATGCCAGGCATGGTGGGAGAATGAACTAACAATAAGCTTGTGTACTTCAAGCCATTTCTAGGATGCTCTTCCCCCCGCCCAATACACACACCCAAGGCAGTCACCAGAAGTCATCACGGTCCTCCAAGATTTCTTCAGGTGGTTGGTAGCAAAAGAGGAGGATCCTCAAGCCTGCAGGATGGGAGGCCTTGAGCGAGCTCCATACTGAAAGCCGGCACAGTCATTTTCCAACAGGATATAAGGGACAGCTGTGCGCTCCCCAGGAAGTAGCCAGTTAAGTTCCTCTGCCACATTGACAGCATGTAACAGCTAGAGAAAAACGGATTCCTCACCAGCCTGTAGCTGTTTTAGAAGCCTTGCCTAAGGTAAGTCTACACCAACCCAGCTGGGCTGAACTCAGCTGCCACAGGCATGCTTGTATTTGCCCAATGAGAACTAAAGTGGCTGACAAGCAGGCAGGTCCAATGTGACATTGTACTCACATGAGTCTTCATTTATCAGTCTCTACCTTATCCAAGACAGGGTCTCTCATGGAACCTATTGACTGATGGGAGAGCTCCAGGGATCCATTCCCGCCATCCTACCCCCACCCCCCACCCCTGCCCCAGAGCTAAGGTTATAGCCATACACTGTTGTGTAATATTTTGATCACATTCTGACAACAGTTTGTTTGGAATCAGAGGGTGGAGCGCTCCTAGCTGACCAAAATTAATCATAGTGGTATTAGAGGACCGAGGACAGTATGACAGGAAGAAATAAGGCAGGGCTTAGAGAGGATCTCAGTCCTTTTGGGTGGAGGGAGGGAAGAGATAGTTGCTTTGCTGTTGCTTCTCTGATCATTCAGGTTCCAACCTGATATGACTCTCAACTTTTTATTGATAAAGACTAATTAGATAAGCGTGACAATACACCACCATGCCTGGCTTCTTACAAGTCCACATGCTTACACAGCAGGCACTTTACTGACTGAGCCAACTCCCCAGCCCCCAAATCTTGGTATTTTAATGAACACAAGGCTTGCCAACAACTACTTTTCTTCATAAACCCAACAATGGCAGTCTCTTGAAAGCTCAAAAAGACAGACATTATCCCAGGCTTCCTAAGGGGTTTGAACTTGTGACATTCTTAAATAAATGATGGGGGAAGTCTTCTGTGTATATGTTTGCCTTATTGGTTGATAAATAAAGCACTGTTGGACAATAGAGAAGCAAGATAGGTGGGACTAGGAGAGGTGAAGGATGCTGGGAAACAGAGACACAGTCAGTCACCATGTAGGATGCCAGAGAAGTAAGAGGTCTGGACCCTTTCTTCGGTAAGAGAAGACCATGTGGAAATAGATTAGCAGTTATGGGTTAATAATTAAGTCAGAGCTAGCTATCAAGAAACCAGAGCAAATGACCAACAGCTTTATAATTAATATAGTGTCCTGCATGTTCATTTGGGACTGATGCGGCTCAGGGACCAGGCTGGTGGGAAGAATGCACATTGCAAATAAATTATGTCACCAAATGAAATACAGCCATGAAAATGTCTACTATGAAGGACACCATACAATTACATCAAGCCAGGTCTCCTTGCTTAGTTTGTCCATTTTATAAACGGGAGGTGGTGGACATCTGCAAAGAGCACTGTGCCAAGGATTTGGGAGTGGATAAGCCTATGGCTTGTTTGTCCTTGACAAGTATTTTTTTCACCTTCTTTTGGCCTGGGTTTCTGCAGCTACATTCCCAACTAAACATAGAGCCACAGCCTAACAGTTGGCTGCTGCAACACTCACAGATGTGTAGCTGGCTTCCCCAGAGTCCTTCTTTCAGCTATCTGGGTTTCACCAGAGCTTGTCGAAGCCTGAGACCTTCTGATCTCCATTGCCTGGCCCATTCCAGTATGTTCTCCTGGCCTCTGTCCCAACACACTTGCATACCCAGGCCCCCGAGCCTTGGCTCATGCTCCTGTTTGGAAAGATTTACTGAGATGTTCCAGAGACCTGTTCAAAAGCCGAGTGTTCTCTCTTGGCAATTGTCCTAAACTGGCTTTGTCACCCCTCACCTCATTTGTTCTTTTCTACTCACAGTCTTAGCTTACTCCTTTCATATTTGTTTATGGTCTGTTTTCCCACAAGTGTATGGGGCCCCCCCGTGTGTGTGTGTGTGTGTGTGTGTGTGTGTGTGTGTGTGTCTGTGTCTGTGTGTGTCTGTGTGTGTGTGCATGGTGCATGCGTGCTTGTGTGTACCTGGCATTACCATGACTTATTTGTGCACAGAGTTAGGGGTGACGATAAGGTAGGAAGGCCATTCAGAGCACGCCAAAGTCCTGAAAGAGGAGCTGTAGTCTGAGCCCCAGGCCAGGAATGAACTTGGGCAGCCGACCCAGCATGGCTTAAGTAGTGAAGAAAAGCTAAGAAACAGCAAAACACCAGCGGCCAGCATGAAGGATGGCTAGGAATCTGGGCAAGTAACCTGTGAAACCAATGTTCAGTGACTAGTAACACCCAAGGGGATATGCATTTAGCTTTTCTCTTAGTATCTAGTCAGCCAGAGGACTCTACAATCAGCTTTAGATACAGGTGACATCAGGACACCAAAGAGAAACAAAACCAGTTCTAGTGACTGTTAGAATCACCCAGGTTCCCAAATAAGCACAATTCTGGGAAGAGTTGTCCCTTAATCCACCCACAATTTATGATCCTACTACATTTTTCTCCGTTTTCCATCGTGTCTTCCTCATGATGGCGTTTACACGCTCCTTTTAAGATAAATCCACTCACAGCTTGAGTGTGGGTGGTTGTCAGGTTTCTTCTCCACCTTCTCTTCATCCCGAAATACGGTAGGTTTGCCCTGGGCAAGTGAACCTCACTGCGCCTGAGTGAGGATGGGCCAGATGGAAGATTGCTGGGAGGCAGCTTGAGACCGTCCTCCTTTACTTGGGTGATACACCCAGAGCGGTCTTCTGTGTCACTCCTCCACACAGGGAGAGCTGGAGGCTGCAGGCACCGTCCGCCACCTTCCCCACTCTGAAGTCGGTGTCCAGGGCTTTCTCCTCTCTGCACCAGCTGTGCTAGACGTCTGCTGTCCTCCCGGGGTCCCGACATTTGCTCACCCTGGGCTTTTCTTTGCACAGCCATTTGTTTACTTGAAAGCCTCCCCCACCCCATCCCATGTGCTCAGGGGTCACTCCTGTCTTGCAGTGGTGGTTCCAGCTCTTCCTTCGATGGCCGCATCAAAACCCTCCTGACACATGTGCATTGACCCCTCTCCTTTGGGTTTCTTTGAACTTCCTTTCATCATGCAACACACTGTATGCTTTTCTTTGATTTATGATGCTCTCCTCCTACATGAGTATATTCTCTTTTGTCCACCCCCTCTTCCAGGATCCTGTGATGTATCCCAGGCAGACTCCCTGATACACTTTAGCAGATAAAGTCCTTCGCCTGCCTGTTACCTGGGATCTGAAAAACTGCCTGGAACACTGAATAAGTGGGTCCTCAGTCAGCATGAATACGAGAGGGCTCACCGGCTGCAAAAAGACAGGGTCTTGGGGTATGTCTTTAGCCTCTGCAGGAGAAGGGTAGTGTCAATGGATGCACAATTTTCACTGGCCATATAGACACAAAAATTTTCTTTTTTATTATCTTTTTAGAGGGGGGGAGGAGAAAGGGAGAGAGAGGAAGACACAGAGACAGAGGAAAGAACTATGTCTGCACACCATAGCATACATGTAGAATTCAGAAGTCAGAGGACTTTTACCAGA